TGTCCTCCTCTGATATGTTTCTTAAAGAAAAATACTTTAGTAACTTAATTCTTAAAGAAAAATGCTTTAATATTGTAATTCTTAAAGAAAAATACTTTAGTAGCATATTTTTAAAGAAAATTATTATGAAAATACATTTTTAAAAATGCTTTAAAAGTGTATTTTTTAAAGGAAAAAATTTCAGAAGCAATTTCCTTTATAAGTAATATTCTGAAAGCTATTTTTCTTCAAGTAAATTATTTAAAGATATTTTTTCTTTAAGAGAATTGTTTTAGAAATATTTCTCTTGATAAAAATTATTTTAAAAATGATTTTTTTGAAGATAATTATTTTGGATATGATTCTCTTAAAGAAAATCACTTTTCAAAACTTTTTAATAACTTTAAAATTTTTTTGAATTTTTGTTAATAATATAAGCCATATGCGTCAGCTTATATAGTTCATAAGCTAGCTCAACTTATCATATTTTAGATTAAATCAAGCTAGTTTATAAGCTAAATTAAATTAGCTTAGCTTGAGCTGATGATTAAGCCGGCTCAAGTCAGCATATACAAGTTTTAGTTATTATATTCTAAAAAAATTATTTATAAAATATATAAAAAAATAAAGTTTTACTATAAATAAGTATTAGTAATATCTGTTTAAACTCTTTTTTGAAAATTGTAGTTTTATCAAAGGATTTATCTTTAATCTTTTTATATGAATAAATATAAATTATTGTATTTTTTGATGTATTTTAATTCAAGGAATTCAAACTAAGTTAAATATAATTTTGGCAATTAAGTAAAATAGTTTTATCATTTATAAAAAACTAGTTTTGTCATTTTAGTTATATCAGTTTCATCATATTAAGAAAGGTAATTTCATTAGGTATTACTAATAAGTATATAATATTTATTTATTATACCTTTTATTTATAGTAATGATTATTCTAATTTAACATATATTTCTGATATATATATAATAATATTAAACCAAATCCCAGTAATACTTAATTGATTAGATATTTTGATTAATTTGATTATAAGTTAGATAATAATATAAATGTAACTTATAATTTTAATTATATTAATATCAATTTATATAATTTTATATAATTTTATGCAAACTTATTGTATAAATCTTTTGCAGCTTTATATTTACTAATTTGATGTAAAATTATGAAATATTTTTACATTATAAATAGTATTTTATTAATCATTAATAAATCAAAAAGAAATAAAATATTTATTAATAAAGTTAGTAGTAAATTTGAATGTAAAATTATTTTAATTAATAGAATAAATATATGTACAGTATATATATGGAAGGTTTGCTAGGAAAATGGGGTCTGGGAATTTTTTAATAAACTTTTAATTTTTAGTGCATTTTGATTTTTGAGTATTAGAATAAAATGCAATAAGTATCAAATTTTAGTCAAAAAAATTCTCAGAACCCATTTTCCTAGCAAACTCCCATATATAGAATAAAACAAAAAATTTAGATTCAATAAATTCATCATTAAAAGTTCAATTATATTTTGATCCGTAATTTATTTCATCTTAATAATGTACGAAATGAAACCAACATCACATACATATAAAGTGCGTGTAACGTCATTCGTGAAAAATTGTTAAAAAATGCTTTCTTTTTCGTGGAATTATTATTTAATTTTATATTAGTACAATAAATTTATTTTATTTTGCTTCTAAAACTTTCGTTATCAATCACAATGATTAATGGGGTGTTAGAAAATTGTTGTGATAATTCATCATTGAACCATTTACAGTATTTCAAAGGAAAGGTATAAAAATTCAAAAAGAGTGCGTTAGTATTTTGAAGGCATTTATTTTTATTATTATTAAGATCCTACGTAAGTTTGTATGACTGCATTAATTTTAGTTGCATTTCCTTGGTATGACGATTAAATTTACTAATGGTGATGATTGTTTGTTTATTCATCCACAATGTTCTTACTTTACATTAAAAATAATTACAGTAACAGATATTTTTGTTAAAAAGTGAAATTATATTTGATTTAATTAATATTTCATTATTTATATTACTTTCCTGATAAACTCTCAAACTTCCTTCCCAAACGTTTCAAAGTAAAAGTATTCAAAGTGCAACATTTAAATAGAAGTGGAGGTTCCCGACCGGAAAGAGCAAGGAGGTCAAATATGACAAGGCTTTCGCCACGAATCGTCACTTTTGCCCTAGTGGTTCTTGCACCGGTCTGTTTCCTGGCAACAGCTGCAATGCAGCAACTACTCCTTGTTGAAGATTTTGTTCTTCCTTTTTTACTTAACTTCTTTTTGCGAAAAGATATACCTTTCGTTATGACTGGCATTATGTTTGCATGGACATATGTGATAACGGCGTCTTTAAGTGTTATAGCTCAAGCTGCTGGTTCAAGAAATGGGTATGATAATAATGTTCGTATCAAATTTTTTTTTTTTTTGAGGTGTTACCGGCTTTATCAGATAAAGTTCAATTAATTAAAACGTCGAATTGCTTTAAAATTTAGGAACCAAGACTCCCTATTTATAGATCATCTTTAAAAGGCGCACTAGCTAGGATGGTAGCAGCACATAATGTTGCATTAGAGAATGCCCCTGGTAATTCATTTTATTAATACTAGTTTATGGAACTTTTATTACGTTTTCTCATTAATTTATAACACAATATTTTTCTTCTGTTCTAGCATTTTTTACAGCAGTAATTATTGCATCATTAAATAAAGTACCTCTGAAATATAGAACAAGGTTTGGATAATTATTATTTTGAATATATGCACATCCATTACATGAAGTTTACAATAATATATTCCTTTAAAATTTCATTTTTAGCTTTTCCGTTATATACACAATTCTTCGAATTATCCACACTCCATTATATGTTTTGGATTTTGATATTGCGCGTGTAATTATACATGTCATGGCTTTATCATGCACCGTGTGGCTATTTGCATTTGCTCTTGTTCCTAATTTCGAGAAGAATTATTCAATCGTGACAGAGGTGGTTACATTGTTAAGGAGCGTTTCCGATGATGCAACGTGGATTTTTGATTGAAATATTATCAAAAGAGACATTCAAACTACGATGCGATAATAAGTTGATTTAATATTAGGTATAAGTGCGTTGTTCATCAAATGTTGCATTCAAGGTTTGTGTTATGTGGATATTTAACCTTTGAAATTTTATGAATTCTTTTTTTATTATTTTATTGAGAAAATTTTTTTGGGGGTTGATAACAAAGGTAAATACAGGTAAACAAGTTCTTCCATCTTCAAAGAAATCAGTGAATGAAAAGTGAAATTAAAAAGAAAAATTAGGTCAAGTATTGATCATATTATTTAAATAAGTTTTATAAATATATATATATTTTTTAGCATGTGCTAGTTAATTTTATTCGGGATGAATATATTTAGAGGATTGTATATAAAATAAAGACATCGAGAGTTTATTTTATAATGAAGAATCATATTTTCCATTTAATATATTTTATTCCTTAGATGTACTATGTATTCGTATTCGTATTTGTATTTTTTTATTTTATTTTTTTTTTTTGATATTTTGAATATTTGTATTTATATAGAGATAGGGTAGCTGGGTCGGGACGAATAGATTAATTTAGTGGCTTTCGCCTATAATGTGATTTGCTTTGTTTCATGAAAATTTACATAAAGACAATATAGACGTTCCAAACATAATCACCATCCGATTCACATTTAAGTCACAATTGTATAAAATGAGTTGGCCTAAGTGTTAATTCTTTCGTGTTTCCATTTACAAAATCAAGAATCTTGAATCATCTTTATTGACTTTGCTCGCACAAATGAATGTTTCGTTTTATCTGAAACTGGTAGACAAAGTTGATTATCACGTGATATCACAATGGACAAAGTGTATTAACCCTTAAAGGGTATTTATTGTAGAACAAAAAAATTTTTTTTCCACGCTTTAACCTAATTTATACAATAAAAAAAAGTTACCCCTTTTTGGCAATTACCGAAATTACGTATTACAGTTTTTTTTTTTTAGTTCAAATTTGCATTGAGGCTTAAAAAAGCATAGAAATATCATTAATGACATTTGTATGTAGCAATGTTATAAATATTTTTCAAACAAAATTCCAAAACGTATCAATAAATAACACCAGAAAACTGTATTAGGGATAAATGACAAAAAATCACCCAAACCCTCGATCATTTATTTTCCATTGACCAACCACAATGGAGCGTGTGACGAGCCAGTCCCAGATAACTCCTTGTAATTTTCATAAATTACCAAACTGTGTTACGAGACTTAAAACAAACCTTTGTTTAAAATGAAACATTTTTAAGTGGCGTAATAAATGTTTAAGCCAAGATTTGCCGTGAATCTGGTCTTGTGAAAATCCCGACGATTCCAGGAACTATTGAGGTTTCGAATGTTGGTAACTCTTTGAATCGGAATGTCATTGTTGAAAAAAAATGACCATTAAACCTATATTCGTTTTATATTGGTGAACATTTCCAACCCTAATTTGGCCGTGAAATGATTTTTTTTTCAAAACCGATTTTATGTTTCATCCTATTATTCTTAACCTTTTTATTTGCATCATAAAAAAAAAGTTGTAAATCCCTTTTTCGAAAACAATAGTAACTTTAATTGACCGGCAAATGTTTTTAATTTTTTTTTTTTCGTGGTTTTATGTGCACAAAGAAGCCTTTCAAATTTTCCGACACAATTCTATTGTTTATAGAGAACCGAGATTTTGGAAATAGGGGTTCATTAAGATGTCAAACAATAATGGTATACAACATAATGAAATGACTTCCATGTTTAGATTGCTAGAATAATTCAATCATTGATTCATTCATCCTTGAATCGATATTTAAAGTTCGAATTTTCAACGTTCTCCTTTTCTCTTCACGACATTAGGAAAAAAGAAAAGATTTATTTAACAAAAAAAAAAAAAGATTTAAGAAATAAAAAAAATTTTTTTTTTGTTTTCTCTGAAAAAAAAAAAAAAAAGTATGGAATACGAATATTATCATCAACAATCTCTTATTGAGAAACCATGCCTCGCTATGCAAATTCCTCCCGAAATTTTCATAAGCATTTGTAAGGATTTACCACCTACTGATCTTCTCTCCCTCGCTAGTGTATGTAAAAAGTTTTACGGGTACCTTTGTTCAATGAATTCGTTCACCACTCAAGAAATTTGGAGGAATTCTCGCTTAACTTTCTTACCTTTTGTTCAATTGTCACCACCTGAAGGTATGACTGAACTTCAGTATGTGAAGTTGGTTACTGAGCGTGGATGTCAATTTTGTGGAAAGTCAAGGATTAGAAAAATTTATTGGCCTTTTCTCGTAAGGTGTTGCAAGAAATGTCTTGAAGATAGGACGATTAGGTGAGGAGAACATGACAAATCTTTTTACATCTTTTTTTTTTTTAAAAAAAAAAAGAAAAATATTCATCCTTTTTTTTTGTCTTGTTTTTCTTTAGGATGGATCAAATTAGGAATCAAATATTTTCTCAAGATTCAAAAACTCTTGATGATATCCTTTGCGGGTTGACATTCACTACCGGACTTAATAAATCCGAATGGGATAAAAGTCCAAAAAATCGACCCTCAAGTTTGTATTGGATCCAAGACGTTCATAAGATTTATAACGAATTTAATAAATTAAATGTTAACGAACGTCAAGATTGGATTGAACAAAATCGGGAGAAAGGACGTAGTAAGATGGAACAAGTGATGAAAAGGGAATTAGAAAATGAAAATGAATATTGGACAAAAACTCTGGAAAATTCAAAGAAAAGGGATGATCGTGCGATGGCAATTGAGAATTTAATAAGGGGAGAAAAAAATGAATACGGATTTCCAAGATTTAAAATGTCTGTGGTTGAAAAATGCATGACATATAATAAAGCAATCATTTCATCAGCTACAAACCCTTTCACAAAACGAGCTTGGAATGGTTTTCGTAATAAATTAATTCCCGAATATATGCGAATAGCCGCAATTTTAAGATCAAAAAGACAAGAGTTGGAAAGACGTATGACGGTTGACGTCGCTATACAGACGCGTCAGATGGATATCGTTAAAGTGATCTTTACTTTATTGCGTCCAGAGATGGAACGTCAACAAAATAATCATATCCAACCTTTAGCAAATAATAACATGGAAAAAAATTCGAATTCGTCTTCAGATTCTAGTAGTGTCTCGAATGATTCCAATTATAATTCAATTGTCAGGATGAATTCCATCTTTGAAAGTTCAATGATAAAGTTCTTGCCCTGGTGTCCATCATTTCGTAATCCTCCTTTTACGAATCAGGATCCACGTAACCTGTGGGATGATGATTTTCTCATGAGCATTCTAATCCCAAAACTCCGTGAAGAAGCCGAATATCTAAAGAAGAATCCAGCACCTCTTACGACATTATGCGGAGCTTTTCTTCATGGTGGCCTGAATAATAAACGAATTTATAAATGCAAATTATGTAGCATTCATAGTAATAAAACACCGTTTTATTCCTTCTTTGAAATTAGATTACATTTAACAAGAAGTAATCATAAAGTGAGGATGGTTGACGATCAAATGATCGAAGTTTTTCCCTTTTTGGAGAATGCGAGTACTTCTCAAATATTTCCAAGGAATAAAACCGATTTATTCTTTGCGGCCGGTTTTAATTGCAACTTGATTTGTAAATTGTTATGTTAAAAATAGATAGAAAGAATAGAAAACCATTAACTTTTATACTTTATATAAAATGATATAATATGTTAGTTTTGTTTATCATAATATATTTTTAATTTTTATTTACAGTACGTGTATGATTCTGGTTTTTTTTCATTAAGATTTCTTTGCGTTCGCAATATCGTAATGTATACATGAATAATTAAGACTTAAAGTGATATGATTTATGATAAGATGAATTTTATTATGAATTTAATGTTAATATGATTATGGTTTTATATAAAAAAAGGTTTGAAATAAAAGTATTTCTTTTTTTTTCCGCCAAATAAAACAAATGTTAAATGACGAGAAATTTTCGATTCTTCCAAGCTTCAATAGCGCTTTCATACGCATTTTTATTTTCAGCCCGTTATTTATGCTCCCAAAGTATTTGAAAAAAGTTAAGTTAAATTACATAGGAAACCCACAAAACTATGAGTCCCTAAGCTTTATAAATGAATAAATTTATTAAATATTATTATATCTTTCCACAAGTTATTTAATTTTATCTTTAAATTTTCAATGATTTTTTACAAATCAACAAATATAACTTCAAAGGGAACGTAGAATATTTACTCCAACAAATTTAATTGATTTTATAACGAGAAAGAAAATTTACCTGAAAAGCTCAAGATCGAAACATTATCAAAATAATTGCCTGTTTGAAGATGTATATAATGTCAAATGAAATAAATGTAATATTCTTTTTCGAAATATTTTGTTCAATAATTTTTTCTCCGGCTTCTTTAATAAATTTTCACCTTTCAAGGTCACCGATCTCTTCTTTC